CGTGCTTTTTGGGATACTGTTGTGTAGTGAAGCTTCCCTCAAACTTATTTCTTTAGACAAAACCTTATCTATCGCAGTGTGTAAACTCTTTTGGTCCCATTTTACTTTCTCTTTCGTCTCTTACATTTCGATTCATATCCGTTTTACTATCCTCTGAAACAACTTATAACAATTATAATAATAAATATAAATACTTAGAAGAAAAAATAACTTGTGAAGTGTCCGGTGTTAGGGACATTTTTGTGTCCGGTGCTAGGGGACACAGGATCCCCAACATCAAGTGTTTTATACTGAAACTTTTTAGAAAATTAATAAAAACTTTCATTGTTGATGAATTATAAGGGTACACTATCTGTATTGGCAGTTGAAAGAAACACTTAAACACAGAACTATATCAGTAATACTTACCTAAAATTTATGCGGATCAGTGCTTTTCCGCCAAAAAAGCAATCAACTGTTCCCAACGAGGCTTTTCGCGTCACTGTCAAACCGTGTCCCCTGTCCCTGTATAACTACCTTCCCCGCGCCCCTCTCATCGATTTTTGAACCGAACGCGTTGTGACTTGTCGGGATAGCGAGTGTCCGGAGCTACGTGCCGTCCGGCATTAAGGGACTTCCCCCTATGTCGTTATCTGTTCGGAATATTGTAATTTTGATGGAGAGGACTCCAAGGTTCCCTTAGATTTAATTCAGCTGGAGTTATATTGAGGATGAGTTTACTATAAAAAAAGAACAACACTGGAAAAAAAATATAAGTCTTTCGCTCATTGATGAAATAGATATGAAGTGGATTCGAAAAGAAATTTAAGACCTAACCCATGTGTATATCAAAATGGAAGACTGTTTTAACACCTCTTGAGGATTGACGCTTTTAATTGAGGTAATTTTTTACCTGTTTTTTCTAGCATTGAATGAAAAAATCGTTATTACTTTGACTTAACGACTTTTTCATGCATTTTTTTCAAGAAGTACATTCATTTCCGACAGAAATCAAATAGTCGACATCTACACTTTAATGAATAAAAGCTGATAGTGTGTTCAATCTGGCGAAACCTTGTTTACAGATCATCTGAAAAAATTGAGAAAACGCGATCCTGAATATTTGTAACCCCCTGTATGAAAGCGAAACTCCGTGCAACTATGGGCAGGTGAGGAACACAATTATCAAGGAAATTCGGTTGAAAATTTTTCTCGTTTTATTTGATCGAGTGGAAAATATTAAGTATTGAATGAACCCAAATAGTGTTCTGTTGAAAGAAAGGAAACTTTAGTAAATCACACATTCATCGATCACTATGTATACTGATTATTATTTTAAAACATAGCTTCCATTACCCTCTACCACTTTTATTTGAGCAATTGTCTTTTCTCGTCAATACGAAAGTAGCTATAGTCCACCAAAATATAGTTGATGCACCCTGTATAACTTATTGTTTGTCAAAACGAACGTAATGTTCACTATTTTGTATTGTTTCGATTAATTTTTGTCGAAAAATATCTTCAATTATATAGATTCCTATACTAAATCTTAACCAGTATACCGAAACACTAGTCACTAGGCAATACCCGCTATTCCTATCCTATGCCTTTAGGTATTTTTTCGTATAAGAACACTACTGGTAACAAACCTAAATAATATTGTCTACAACTCCTTACAGTGGTAGAATCAAGCAACTTGGCAATCCTTTCAACGTGTATAATTCCGAGCCACGTTGAATTTAAGAACTCGCCTGTAATCAGCTGTCGATCCTTCCCGCCTACTTTTCGAATTCAAATCCAAACACATTTCAATAAACAAAAGAAGAGCTGGCGTCAAATATAGTGTTTTGAAAAAAAAAAGAGTTTATGACTATGGGAGTTGTTATTCTAATTGTGAGCAATGAGTTAGGTATGTGCAAATCGAATAATCGGGTTTCGTAACGTGATATTCTCGAGTCGTGGCTTCTTAATTTTAAAAAAGTGCTGTTTCTAGTGACCTAGATGCCAAAGTGAACATTTGATATATGTTGAGAAAGAGGTGTTCGAGTCGGTAAGTGCAACATTTTTTTTACTCAGTTTTTATTAGTTAGCTGCCGTTTTTCACTAGAATTATGATAGTGAACTGATATTATTTCGGACGTTTTCATACTCTGATTACTTTTCCAGTTGCTTTTTTTCATTTCGTCTCAATCGTTTCCTACTCAGCATTGAATTATTTTCAAGCCACAATAGAGCAAAATTCATTAATTATTTTGAAGAAATAGGGTTTTATGTGGGCTCTGAATATGAAACTGTATTTAAGATCAGACTTCTGTCTAGGAAAATGGCATAGAGTACACCACGGTAGCATGTAATGCTCTGATCATAATATATATTCATTACACGGTGGTCCAAATGTTATCTTGATTTTCATACACTTGAATTTGAGTTTATGCGTTTTTTTTAAATAGGACACCTTGTATATTAGTTTGTCTTCGCATTCTATAGAAATTATCAGTCTGAAGATCCAATGTTATATATGTTGTTCTTGAAACACTTCTTGAATAATTTGCTTTTTTCGAAATATTTACAAAATCAATATATTATTTTAAATAAAAAACAGAACGAGCAAAATGTTTTCCACTCTGTTCTATTTTTTTTCTGATCTTGGACTATTGATTACTACACGAAATGTTTTTTTAATGAAATGTTTAAATATTTCATCCGAAATATAATGTATTTTTGAAAATATAACACCAATATGACATTTCACAGGTAAATAACTAGCGATTTGAAAAGCCACAAAAATTATTTCAAAATTTTTTTTCACATTGAATTTCTACCACAAAAACTTCGTGAACGAAATTTCAGAGTAGTATAAATTCGAGATGATTAAATAGATCTTTAGGTGATCAATCTTTTACGGTTATGAAAAGAAGAGAATTTTGTGAGCGACAATTTGTTCAAGAGACTCAATCGTAATAATGTGAGGACTGTTACTGAGCCCAATAAAAACATTAAAATTATTGAAAACCCTCACAAGAAAATAACCCACAGAAGGTTACATCATCAACTAGGTTTTCCCAGGATCGATAGTTCTTTAAATTTTTGGCCCAGGTTTCCTATAAAATTACATCATAGAATCTGTAAAATCACAGTTCAAAAAAAGGGAAAAAAATATTTTCGAACATTTCATCTCCCTGTATCCCTGTCAAACTACTTTTCGACAATAAAGAAATATCTAATCATGTAAAACTTTCTGAGCAAAACAACTTCGTCAACAAAAAGTGTTGCATTTCTTCTCAATCATTTGACAAAGTTTGGAAGTTCTTGTTAGAAGACCCTATAGTAAAAAATGTATATACTAGGTACATTAACAACAATTTCTTGAAGTATCCATCTTGTGTGAAAAACATCGGTATTCATTTTGACCAAACGTCCAAATTTTGCTTCGTCAATAATATCTATTAAGCCTGGGTGGATCATTAGAAACTTACAATTTCAGAGGTTCATTCTGCAATTGCTGGTCTTAGTTTCTAATGATCTTTCCCGTGGCAAACTGTATACGTAAAAGAAACATCCCTTAATAGTTAATTTAGACTCTAGAGAAACATCAAACAAAACTTGCTATTCCTGTTGTCCTACTAGAGCACCTTTGGTAACGTATAACCAACTCATTGCAAGAATTAAACGATTAGATGAACCTAAAGATGTGTATAATTTAGTCCTTTGGACACTCTGATGAGAGATGTCACCTGTCGATCACTCCCACATACTTTTCAAATTCTAACCAAGTCTTATTGCAACTTAAGACAAAGAGTGGGCGTCGACTATTTTTTTGAAAAAAAATTCTTGTTAATTCAAAAAATAATAGAATCATGAGCAATGAATTTACAGCAAACTAAATAATGTTTAGATTATCTGAAGTTGTGTTATTTGAAATAGCAAACTGAACATGCCTGACGCTGTGAAAGAAGTGTTTTTGAACATTTTAGGCAATTCTGTGATTCTTCTGGCATTTTCGTCATGGTAGGTAAGTGCAACTAATTTTTCTTGTTTTCTCTTGAACTAATGCATTACATACGAGAGCAGTCCAAAAAGTACTTAGCCTCACCGCCCGATGGCGCCACTAACGCAAGTGTACAATATCGGTGATTCCATTCTAGTTTTTGGAAGAAAAATCGCGCAGCGAAAGCGAAATCAAAGAGTGATTGGATGTTATGAACGATGGATGACTCTTCTCCTTTGATGGCGACTGTCGAAAAATTGATTTAGCGAGTTTCAACGTGGTCGCATGTCGGTTTTTGATAAGCCACGCCCAGGTTCCCCAAAAACGACTATCACGGAGTATACCGTGAAAAAATCTGCGATCTTGTATTGGCAGACCACCGATTGAAGGTGCGGAAGATAGCTGAGACAGTAGGTATCTCAAAAGACAGACATACAGACAAACATACTAACAGAAACATTTCAATTCCTATTTATATCAAATATATGAAAATTCGAGAAATTGATAATATTGAAAGGATTCAATTGATTGTTTTATTTGATATTTTTGAATGATAATATATACATTTCAGCGAAATTGATAGACGTCCAGCCACTGTTTCGCTTCAAAATTGTGATGTTTTCAACATTATCAGCAAATTAAGTCGCTGAAGTTCAACGAATGCTATGGCCTAAGTAATTTTCAGGATTGGGTAAATTTGAAAATCGTGCGATTCTGATCCGAGATCCCTGAAACTTTAGTTACCAACAGGTTGATTCGAACATTTTCTTTTAACGTAATTCACAAATAATCTGTTATGAAAAGTATGAAATAACCTTGAAGATAAATATTGCTTATACAACAGCAAGTTTTTTTGCCCAGTTACAAAAAAGTTCTCTCAATTTGTGTTTTTGAATCTGTTATTTTCACAAGCAACATGTCTTTCTTGTCGTTTATTAGATCAATTTACACTTTTAACTGTTACTACCTGAAAATGTAGCAAATTAAGTTGATACTTTTATATCTCACAAACGTATTATTTAGTTAAAATTACCTTTATCGTTAGATGTGTGTAATTATTTGCTTCCACAATGAATTTGTTGATTGGCTCGCTGTTCAAGACTTCAGATTTCTTTACTCTATACCCAAATTCTTCATTTTAAGAAATGCGATAACCTTTGGGAAAGTGGCTGTGTTTTACATTTGTCTTCACTAAAATGGCACTTTTTCTACAAAGTAGAGAATTTGACAGTTTTAGATTTTTGCGCCAACTAATCCAAAATTACATTCTTTGTTATAGTTTTGAATTTCTTCATATCAGTCCATTTCCAAAACAAATTATAAACGTTTTCGTACCTGGACTTTGATTTTTCAGGCAATAATTGTGCTGTAGCAGCAGCTGTTGCTTTCCATAGTTTATTGCGATGACTGTGAACAAAAACTATGCAAACTCTCAAAAATCAAAATTTCCACCAATTTTATGTCAAACAGCTGTCAGTCGTTTTTTCGTTGCTATGACAATGATTACCTGTCTCTATGAAAACCATACCTACTAAGATCTACATATTTACAATGACAACAACAATGTGATTATTCCCGGACTAGTAGTAGTAAAGCGTAATGCCAATACATTAGTCAATTATTTAGCTGTTCCGGTTGACTTCGTATAGACTTATACATATTATGTATCACTGTCAATTTTGTCACGTATCGGTTCTCACATTTTTGTATTTGAACAAATTATTCACAAATAACATTCGCTCTTGGATATAAAAAGTTGACTTTCAGAAAACAATTTATTGTAATACTTAACAAGATATTTAGTACCTTAAATTAAATCAATAATCACAGTCATAAAACCCTACAAAATATGAAAAAACAGAGTAACTTATATTGTAAAGTCAATGATGAATTTGGAAAAAATCAGTCTCAATATAACAAAAGAGAGATAATAGTACCTCGTAGAATGATTTAAATGTCATTCCTATTGAATCTGAATCACTTTTGTTTTTCAAACAAGAATCATTACAATAATGGAATACTAATGACAGTGAATGGCAGCTAAGCAAATTCAATAAGATAACGAATTTTCAAATCATATGAAAGAAGTAGTATTATGTGGTAATCACAAAATAAAAATACTGATTTTGTCCATTTTACAACTTAGCCGAGATACCAATTATTTATATATCTTTTCTAATAATAAATGACAAGTAACCAAATAACTCTAGAAAGCAGTCCATAACCCAACCATACTTCCTGATATTTTTCAAATCAAAATGAAACAAAACAAGTAAAAAAATGAATAACTTTAGAAAGCAGTCCATAACCCAACCATACTTCCTGATATTTTTCAAATCAAAATGAAAAAAAACAAGTAAAAAAATGAACGAAACAGTTAGGGAAAAAGGAAGGGAAAACAATAAAAATAAAACAATGTATTAGGACTAACTAAATACTAACCTTTACAAATAAGAAAGAGTGTATTATGCTTCTTGAAAATAATAAAATATTTTAGAAATTTTACATGTTAAAATTGACTGGCAAATTGGTTATACCAACATTTGACAAGAATTAATTCGACAGTTTACATGTAAGAATATTTGAACTTGAAATATGACACAGTCAATCTGAAATGAACCATGTGAACAAAATATTCGCCAGATTCGAAAATCACACACTTTTTTAATGAATTGATTATGTAAAAATAACACCAGTATAATACAAGAACACAGGCAGTGTAATATTTTTGGTTCCTAGTATGATTTCCAATCCCCTCATTTGTAAAAACAAAACCCTTTCAACAATAAAATAAATAAAAAAAAATTACATTCTTTTCAGAACTTCTGATACTACAATAAGTGCTGCAGTTCCTATGACGAAAAGTCCCACTGGCACTGCCGCTGCTACTCTACTCTCTAAAAAATAAACAGAACAACTATGAAAATAATAATTCCCTACAATCACAATAGACAATTTGTTTATGTTATTAGCTAACAAAGAAATTCCATCAGTAACTGTAATACATACTGATGCAATCAGTTCTCCTGTTATGTGGACTTTGCACGTGGATGTTCAAAAAATAAGGTGAATGTTCAAATTTCGCGGGATAAGTATATTCGATTACGAAAACAACACCGCAATCATGCCTCAGCGACTGTACTCACTGGATTTGGTTACCTGCGACTTTTTTCGGTTCCCAAGATTGAAGAAACCCACGAAAGGACGGCGTTTTGCGACTATTCAGAGAAAAAGAGAATCGCTAAGAGAGCTGAAGGACAGTGCATATCAGTACTGCTTCGAGAAATGAAAAAACGGGGACACAAGTTTATTATATCTGAGAGGGACTATTTTGAAGGGTTCAAAATAGAAATTGATGAATAAATCAATCTTTTTGGAGAAACATTAAAATTCATTTCATTTTTTGAACAGAATAGTACATCAAATGTTCTTTAAAACATTGTTTTTAATCAAGATGAGTGTGTTTTAAAGTTATTATATCGTTAGTCTATATATCTCGATACCTGAGCGGATGTAGATTTTGACTGCCTCCTCACGCTCAGTTGTTCATCAAAGTATTATAGTATATCAAGTACTCTAATAAATTGAGTCGCTTTCAACTTGACTTTACATCAGAATGAAATGAAAACACTTTTGCATGCTATAAAATAAGAAAACGGTTATGCTTACACATGCACTTCTAAAATAAAAGTATTTACTGTTAGTTCATCTTGAGTTGATTAGCTGCAAAATATCAAACAATCTATTTCTACTTAATGAAAATCCATGAGAAAAGTATTCAATAACATTTACATGTTATCATGTAGATTTCTTCAAATACATTCACCTTTATTTTTTCTTCATTGAGATGTGTACAAAATTGAGAAGAGTCACAGAGACAACTCAATTTTGTACCTACCAATATAAAATTTTGCCGATCATAATGTGTCGTTAATTCACATAAATCAAGCATATCGCTCAACTTGGTGCTAAGAACGACATGTTAGAAGGTAGCGACAGCTGGTTGAAGAAACAACAAATCCCAAAAATCCAGGTAGAACAAAGGAAAAATATTTAAACTTTTTAATAGTATTAAACTTTTTCAAACAAAGAATCTACCTATCTATATATACTAATATAAATGTGAAAGTTTGTGAGGATGTATGTATGTATGTTTGTGGCTCTTTCACGCCTAAACAACTGAACGGATATAGATGAAACTTTATATAAATACAGCTTACACATCAGGATAACATATAGGCTACTATTTACAAACGTAATGTGTGATTTTGGTCATAATATAACCATAAGTATTTAGTGAGTCGCAAAAATTCTTGCTACCTGAGAGCTCTCTTGGTGTGTGCTGCCAATACCGGTGGAGTTACACGCAGATAATGAACTGTAAGATTGTTTATCTTAATAGTTCTAAATAAAAGTCTGCGATAGCATATATCTACCTCTCATGTGGTAGCCACTATATGCAAAATACTGAGCCATCAATACAATTGAATTGCATTCCTTTTTTTATTAGAATATCTGTAATTTTTTTTAAATTGATACAATTGTCTGTTGAAGTGGTATTTAATATAGATAAGCTTTGTTTTACACAAAGTAATTTGTTTGAATCGTTTAAAAGTTATCACAATAATATTAACTTGACACAATGCACTTATGATGTACCGTTTGGAACCTTTGGTGTATTAATGAAAATTACTGGAGTTTTTTCCCAACACCAAATCGTTTATTTATGTAAAAATAACGATTTGGTGTTGGGAAAAAACTCCAGTAATATTGACACAATGCAATAAGCCATTAAGCGTCGCGTCTACTGTAAGACGGCGGGAGACGATGCGTGGGGGTGGAGGGGCGCTCTAAGCAATGAAGCGTTTTCTCCATCCCCTAAAGACACCAACTTTGTGAAACGAGCGTCGAGAAGAGTATTGCATTTCTGGTGATTAAAAAAGTGCTTGTTTTGGATTTACACTACGCCAGAGGAGTTTTACCGTTCATTAAGAACGTTCATATTGAATGTGTAAACTCCTACAAGAATCGTGACAAAGTTATTTTTCGTTTTTTTTTGGCCGTGGTCTGCAGGTTTTTATTCCAGACGTTTCGTCCATCACTGCGGTAGAAATTATCAAAGGCAACGGTTGAAGTGCTCAAGTTGTTGTTCCCATTGTTCCTAACGCAGAAACTACAATACTGGTTTTCGACTCCAGTTTCAACTGTCAAAATCTGTTTTTCTGTTAACCAGCTGTCGCTTATATTATTATAGATGGCAGTGGCTTGGTTTCTCTTGATTGGATTACCTGACCTTGTTTGTGTACAATTAAGGACAGGTAGCCAGATTTTATGAATGTGTATTGCCTCCTTTTTTTCTATTTGAATAATCCCCGTGTTTTTGTTGAATTTCTATTGCCTCTATATATATTCTTGAATTGTTATTTTGAGTTTTATCGGGTATTACTGTTTCTTCGAATGAGATGATGCGAGTGCCTTCTTTATTTTATGCTACGTTTGAAGCTTATAAGAATGTACATAATGAGTGTGTCATTTATTTTTAAAGTATCATATTTATGCTTTAGAAACACATTGTATCAAATCTTACGGTTTTCATGATATTTTGTTATTATTTATATATTCCTATGTGATATCAGGCTGTGTGTATAAACCTACTTGTGACATACTTTCTGCTTTGTAATTGGGTTACGACCTGTGGAGTTTGTACAATAAATGACCAAATAAATATATTTGGTTAGTGATTAGGGTTAATACAATCTCACAAACATTTGAATGATGAAATATTATGATATATATGTAATGAAAATTAGGTGATACTTTACTAGATGCAGAATTCATTCTAATGCTATAAGAAACACAATACTGCATGCTCGAGTTAATAACAACCTGAATCAAGATCTTCACCTTTCAACAATATACCAACTTCTTTTGAAAAACATTGAATTCGACTGAAGGAAAATGTTCAGCAACAGTACTATTCAATTACGTTTTTACATATTTCTCCAATTTGGATCTATAATTCCACAAATCCAAAAAAGGTTGAAGTGAAAGTAATATAATAAACAACTGTGCTTGAAATGTGGGAGAAGTGAATTTTGTGCACTGTAATGAAGAAACAAACATTGAAACCATGAAATATCAAACATTACCAACTTTTTCAGTGATTCAATGTTATGTAAATTAGTAATTATTTATTCCATTGACAAATGTTAATGAATTACTTCAGTAATTCAACATCCATATTATTTTTGGATGGGATTACATTGTCTTCATTCAGGTCATTCTTATATTTGAGCTCTGTATACCTGATTTTTGTAGATCACTCTCCACCAACCGGGGCAAATCTGCCGAAAATAAATATATTACAGAAAAGTTCAATTTGAATAATAAGCTGTTTGATTTGGTTTTTAATTTTTTTATACTTTTTTCGCTATTTTCATTATCTCAGGAACTTTAGATATATATCCAATATTATCTCCTGATTTTTACAAACCGATGAATATATTTTTCTTTCGCAGAAAATAACTTCAAAAATGGAAATATTCATTTATTCAACATGCATTGCGTTCAATTTATCTCAAAATGATTTTCTTGTTGACTGTTGACTAATTTGGCAATTGTTACTAGTAAATATATTACCTGAACGACTTTTATCATTTCCACCAGTTGCCCAACCCAGACTTCGTTTTATAGCCATCTTCCATCTAGAATACTTGATATCTCTTACTGAAAAATATAAAACATAATTTGAAATTACGCATGTTTTTGATATTTACCATCTTCACTAATAACTGGCACAAATACATCACTTGGAACCGGTTCAATCTTTTCAATGTTCCAAACTTCAACACCTTTGGCATTTCCCGCAGCTATTGCAGCGCCTAGGGAGGTTGTTTCAGACATCACAGGCCTTACTGAAAAAGATATGCACGATGTAAAATTCGTTCTAGATTTTTTGTTCCTAATATATCTGAAAAACAGAAAAAGTGTGAATTCTATTTTGGGCTGCATCTTCTTTGTTCATAGACATATTGAAAATCTGTTTGAGCTTTGTCATACATAGGGTGTCGTCCAACTTGGACCATTCTCAACTTTGAATAAAAACAATATGAAAAAATATGGATAAGTGTTCAAGTTTACTCCATCCTCTAAATGGAGTAATCTTTCTATATTAGAAAAAAAAAAACAGCTAAAGGATGCACTTAACTTCATTCCTCCAGTACCTTGGTGTTATCTTCATTTATTGAAACGAGAATGGAGTGTCAAAGAAGTTTAAGGAATTCAGCTTTGATACATACAGAGGATATAAGGATTGTTTCCACTCGAGCGATTATTAGACTACATAATCTGGCATCAATAGGATGGTGCATCCCCTTATAAAATTCTCACGATAGCAATGATGATAGAAAACTGCAATGATTGGATAACTTCTATTTCTTGTATCTAAATCAATATGGCAAAATGCACTAAAAAAACGATTTAATACAGTTTTAATCAGAATCATTTATTCATCACAAAAGAATACAGATTGTGTGGTGAAAACTACAGAATATGTAACTTATCGGACTAGTCAAAAAGATATTTGTATATAAAATAAATTGATTCAGATTGATAAAATATAGACAATACAATATTTAGTGTTATATATATTAAGATTTTTCTAAAATATAGACAATACAATATTTAGTGTTATATATATTAGGATTTTTCATCTTATTGAAACTTTTTACACCAACATATTTTTGGGAATTTCGACCAATGAGAAGCCTGAAAAAGGGCAGATGAATATTTTCCTTATTCCTTGTATCATGTGCATGTATTTGGTCATTCTTAAGAAATGTATTTTATTTGTCCTAATAAGCAATATCAGATTCAAGATGTAAGAGGCAAGGCAGCGTTAGTATTTTAGAATTTCAGAATAGTGGCTTACAAGATTCTGAAGGGTGAGTTTTATTCATAGCTCTGATGATTTTTTTTGGTAACGAAATGCCCTTAGTATGAGAGGTGAGGATCCCCAAAATATTATCCCATATTGCATAGCCGACTGTACCAGTCCATAATAAAGAATTCTCAGTACATCAGCTGATACTGTCCCTCAGATTCCTGATAATGTATGTGATTGTGCTGAGTTTTGAACATAAACACATTTGATTTTCACTTTAAAGGGTTTTACAAGGGTTTATAGTGAAAATCATACAATAAACTATATTAACTAGTTTTAATATGGATTTTCATCAAGTATCGGCCAGTTCTATTCAACATGCACTAGTTCACAAATTCGTTTGTCATGTTAGGTGAGAAACTCAAGACAGGTCTCTTCTGACCTGGATGATGATTTGAACTAGGAACCGTTGATATCTGTAGAGAGGAGACCTTGCCAAAAATCCAAAGTATCAGGTACGTGAACATTGGTGAAATTGAGACTATATCAAAGTTCAGCAGTTGGTCGCCTGGCTGGAGTTGAAGTTGTTCAAGTTTTTCGAAAAAATCCATAGAATCATTAACAAAAGGAGGTAATCTCTCCATAAAACCATCTATTTTACCTTTGAGTACCTTGTTGCTAATGTCGAGTTTAGCATCTGGCATCTTCCTTTGGAAACAACCGAGGAGATCAGGTGAGAATCGTCGCGAATTCAACAACATGCAAAACTCCCAAGATCCAACATCACCAAAAAGAAAAAGTCAGTCCTGAGAAATTTAAGTAAACACTGAAATATTACGGCACTCCCCGCTGATAAGGGGAATGCCACCGTTGCGGTTTAAAACGGAAAGATCAAAGGCCTTCTAGAACTAGCCGTCTACCACCGCCTTAACCGACGAAGAGTAGACCAAGTCCAAAGCATTGCCAACTCGTTTGTACAGATTACCAAAAATACCTGTAAAAAATCAAACACTTCAACTCGAGCCAAAGGACCTACATGTGAGCTTTGACATTGTCTCGGTCATCACACTCTGCGATGTCTCTTCCGTACAGATATCAGTGACTTGTTCAAAAAAATATGTCAATATTAACGAACTTGTTCAAATAAGAGTTGAAAACTACCTACTTTAAATGGAATGACATATTCTACAAACAAATCGGTGTCGCGATTGGACAATCTGTTCATGGAATCTGTCGTGAAAACGGATCTGTAGTCAGCTTTATTACGTTATAGGGTTTGACTTCGCTATGCGCCGAATGGACGTGGAGCCCAGGACGTGTTCCTGAGTCATTCCAAAGTTTAGAGGGAATCCGAACACATGAAATATATCTACGCTGCAGTTTTAATTAACTTCCACTCGAGAAGACAGCTGTTCTTCAGTCCCTCTCTTAGAGGGCCGATCTTATTGTGAACTGCTGCTCCTCGTAGCTGAAAGCCAACGATAACAAGAAACAAGATATTACCAGAGCATCCAGACCAAAGAAATCCAACAAGCAAAAGCACACCCTGGCTCACCTCATCTATTCTGATTGCAAACATTTTCAAGGAACATCAGGTGCAAAATGATTCTGAAGTTAACTCGAGAAACTGCGTGCTTTCGCTCGACCAATGACTGTAAAGGGATTCAAACCGAGTTCCGTGCTCCTACAGGTCGGTGTCGATACCACCCTAAGGAGTGTGAGAACCTGCTTGAAGGGCCATGAAATATCCTGCACTGAAGGAATACCACGAGATACATTTCAACAGAACTGACGTTCTTCACACAACTCGCCACTATTACACGTGTCGCAATTTGGAAGCCATCATGATTTATAAATATTAAAACAACTTCAATAGTAAACGAGAAATCACGAAGATCGACAAAACATGATATCCAGCTCTCCACGGATGCATAATCAAAGCCGTCACCACCCAAACCAATCAGAAGATTTCACTCCATCACTTCTGCTTTACAAACATCAATGAGTCACAGCATATGTATTATTAACGAGGATATTGCATCGCATGGTTGCTAACCACTGCTAAAGATGCCTATCGCAAAACGTTCGGATATAAACGCTTCTTTGGAGCACGGCTACCTAGTCCAGATAGTGAACTTCTCATTTGACGTTCGGCAGTGAACGGTTGAGGCATCAGTCCGACTTCAGTTGAAGATTCAATATTTTATAATGGGGCTCAAATATACAATCATCTACAGACAGTTTCAATAGACAGGAAGAGGGAACTAACGGATAGAATCTGGCTACCTCTCGTAAATTGCACACAAATAATCCAAACAATAGGAACGAAGCCACGCCCATCATCGATGGAGTAAAACTGGAGACAAATTCCAATAAAGTAGTCCTGTGAGGATGGCTAAATCACTTCATCTGTTACTTTATTACCTTTGATAATGTCTGCAGTTATCAGGCATAAAAACTTACTGACCACATCCAAAAAACCAGGAAAATAGTTTTGACACAATAATCTTACAATAAAGAGAATTCATATTTTCTTAATGACAAGTATATTAATTTTCCTCACCTACTGGTATTCCATAATAATCTGCTTGCATCTGCATTAGATAATCGTTTACAGTCATGCCACCATCAACAAGCAGCTTGGTCAAAGGGTTGCCGCAATCCAAAGTCATTGCTTCAAGTACATCCCTTACTTGAAAGCACACACTTTCCAAAGCGGCTTTAATCAAGTGACCAGGTTTGGTTTCCTCTGTCAAACCACATATCACACTGAAACCATTTCAAAACTATTTAAAAAAATTTGAAAATACCACAATATCCCCATTAGTCTGTAGTCAAGTATTATTTGCATAGATATACTGTTGCCATTTCAGAGTACCTTTTTGTAAAGTTACTATTTTCTGGATCAATTCAATAACAATATTTTTTCAATGAAATTATATTCATTAAGTCTACATGAAGTAAAATCATATGATTTTATGGAAGAGTTTTTCATTTAGATATATTTTTAATTAAATTTAAAAAATGTTTCTGTACCAGGGTCATAACTGTACGAGTTCGATATCATATTTTGTATGATCTCCTTAAGAAACAACAAATACTACACTTCCAACATTTAGTGTATCGTATTATTTTATCAATAAAACCAATGTTTAACGTGATTCTGCTATTATTAACATACTATGAGGTCAACAGACATAATCTCTTTGACAAATTGTATTTTTTAAATTTAAACCAAGATATCTGAAAACAGAAGAATACTTATCAGTCATTGTGGATCTGTTAGTCTATCGAACACTATTTAAGAATGTCTCTACTGCTATGTAGACCAGACTACGTTTTTTCACAACTTTTTGGTTTTTCAATTTACCCTCAAAACATTATAATTTCCTGGCCTAAGTCAGAATGGTGCAAAACTAAATTTGAAGTAAAAAATAATATGTTTTTTTTTATTCCCACAGACAACTATATTAAAAATGAATACCTAAATTATATTTAAAGTTTTATATTGATCAATTCTTCACACTGATTTTAACTTTATACAATGTAGTGTATGGGCATAAGAAGTATACTCAGAAAATAAAGGGAATTTTCAAATTTTACAGGTTTGAAGAATCCGATTATCATTTTCATCACTATATTGACATAAAATTTTTGACTGTGGCAGCCGCTGAAGTTAGACATGTTTTTAAGAGCTCGCCAATTTTCATTAGTTGAAACAATTGGATCAAAGAATTTGTATCAAATTTCAGGTACAAAATAAAGTAATCTATAACAAAGTGTGTGTGAAATGTTACCAAAGACATATCATGAGCCTGATTTGAGATGACCGTGAAGACGCTGAGGATGCCCCAGCACATCAACAACCAATATAAAAAATAGTGTGGAACGATTGCTGAATCACGACCAGAGAAGTTGCTGATGATTTTCGTGAAGCAATCGGCAAAACGACAAGATTTGTGGAGAAAATTTTTGGCTTTTGCATGAGACAATACACCTGGTCACATTTCAATGCTTGATCGTGAATTTTTGGCTAAAAATATTATTGTAATGAAGCCTCAGCCGCCATATTCGCCAGAAATGGTTCCGTGTGCCTTTTTTCTAAGTACAAAAAAGAACAGAACCTTAAAGGGCCGTCCTGTTTCAAACACAGATGACACAGAAGTGCATTGCTGAAAGAACTACAGACTATCCTAAAGATCAAGTTTGAGAAGTGTTTTGAGGATTGGAAGAAGCACTGGCACAATTGTATGATTACTAATGGAAAATATTTTGAAGGCGATATTGATGTAGATGGACAAATACATATTTTCTTAACATTTCTGCTATTTTCTGAACATACCTCTTATTTAAAAATACTGAAAAGGTGGTCAATATCGTTTAACAATTTAATCAAGACAGTGACATCTCAACCAACCGTATTACATAATCTACATTAAATGTTGAATTTATAAAGATTATTTTAATTATCATAGACTTGGCAACTGAATAACTGGTTGTCAAAACAGTTCTGGCATTATTCAGGCATGAATATTTACAAATAATTTGACAATGGTTTCAAACAAAAATGGAAATATTTCTTTCAGGTATCATACACACTGGATGCAGAATAGTCATGAATTTGCTGTCTCAAATTTCAGGTTATATGACCAATCTAGTTACATTCAATGAAATTGGCAAAGCTGAATGCAACTGGGCCTATTTTCTGCAACATAAATCATAAAGAGGAATGGTCCCCCTGACGAAAATCAAGTAGTTTTCATAAAAGGGCTCTAAAACAACACATTTCAAACTTATCATTTCAACCTTTTTCTTTAAAAAAATATTTAAATACTTGAAAAAGGGGAATGAAATAATGCATTCAACATTTAAAGGAATTCTTTCTATTTCACCATTTGGCAACATCGATTATAGCTAATAAACGACAATGAATCTGTTACCTGTATGAGACAATCAAAGATGACATATTTCAGAGGCGTGCTTATCTGTTTACTTATGTTCCGAGTCATTCTGTGACATGACATTTTGTGCACCTAACCTATCTTCCTCTAAATATATAAATAACAAAACAACTGTTGTTTATGTGGCTTGTGGTGGTGGTATTGAACTATAATTTATATTTTGCCTTAATTATTGATTTACAAAGATAATTTTCCTTTTTTAAAGAAGAATATCTAGGTACGTATAAATTATTTCAACTTGATATAGACGCTGTTGCCAATATATGAATTAGAAACAATTCCCTTTAAAAATTAAAACCCAACATTTGAAACCTCAATTTGAATACTCTTCGATGTGAATTTGAAAAACTCATGAATTAAACTCAACTTTATTTTGTTCAAACTTGCATTTTCTGTAATAACCCAAATTGAGGAACATTCCCCATTGCAGCCTCCTACACAATAGAAATTGCTGCAATTTCTTCAAGAATTGCAAACTGACATAATCTTTAAATTTATACATTCCGCAAATCAACACTGAAAACAATGATAATGTAAATGTTGTAATGTTAACAACTTGAATCTCAATGCAAAAATAATAACATTTTGAAATATACCTCCTGGCATCTTTTCTCCAGTAAGGTGCATATAGTCCTGAAAAAGCAGGTACAAAATAAACTTCACCATGTTCATCAACAGATTTGGCTAATTCTGAAGATTCATCAACATCACTTAGAATGTTAAGGTTATCACGTAACCATTTCAATGAAATTCCTGAAAATAACTATATTGAAAAAATATATATACTACTTTCTATTGTCAATTTTTAATAGTACTTGATCTTGTAAATACTTTGATATTACCACCTATCCTTTTTGTTTTTACGATACTAACTGATTCTAACCTGCTATTGCCACTGACCCTTCCAGAGCATAAACAGGTTTTTTGTCGGGTCCCAATTGGTATGCCACAGTGGTTAATAAACCATGATTTGATTTTACTATCTGAAATTAACAAAACATTTTCCAAACAGAGGCGACACACACTGTCTTCCAGTCCAAATCTCTGACCTGTAAGAAGGCCTGTTGATAATAATATTAATAATAATCTCTATTCATCCTTTAAGATCATACACATGATATAGGAATAAAGATTGATTTATTAAACTTACATATGTTCCTGTGTTGTATAAAATGAAGCAACCTGTTCCATAGGTACTTTTTGCTTGACCAATATTGAAGCACATCTGACCAACTAACGCTGCTTGTTGGTCTCCTAAAATCTGAATAATTTAAATCCCAAAATTAAAACAGAAACACCCAAAATATATGTTATGTCTCACCCCTGCTATTGGTACTCCCGACAGCTTAGTAACCTTATAAATATATCCATAGATTTCAGAGGAACTCCTTATTTGTGGTAAGATGTTCATAGGAATGTCAAAGACTTTACACAACTGAGGATCCCATTGTAATGTTTCAATATTCATGAGCATAGTTCTTGATGCATTAGTAACATCAGTTATATGTAAACCACCATGTATACCTCCTGTTAAGTTCTACAAAAAACAATTCACAAAATATATCAACATTTTTTTCCCTAAAAATTATCACAAAGTTCCATTCAATGAGGGAGAAAAAATCAGAATCATAATGATGATATTGATAACAATTGTAAAGTTTATAATTCAGTTAGATTTGTTTTGAATTAATTTGATAAAAGTTTTTAGTATATTATTGAAGTATGAAAACATTCAATAAACCAAGTGTTTTACAATATTTCCTTTATTGATTTTATCATTTTATATATTCACACTACAATTAATGTGTCTGTGTAGATCCAGTGAAAATTTAACAAATGAAGAAAATTCAGTATTTTCATACATGATGAAAATTGGTGGACTCACACAATTTATGTGTAGATTTTAGTCAAAAGCCTGAAAGGCAGATGAAAGAGTAAAAATAAATTAGTTACATGAATCAGATGACTAGCAAACAATGAAACTATTGAAGAAATTAGGAATTTAGGAATAAATTTCTGAAATTCCATACCCAAACAAGCCACGTATCAATGGTTCCAAATAAACATCGTCCCTCTTCTATTGCTTTTCGAACTCCTTTCACATTATCCATCAGCCACTTTATCTTTAATGCACTAAAATATGGACTGACCGGTAATCCACAAAGATTTTGAAGAAAATTGAGAGGATGTTTACCGTGTTCAAGAATATCATCAACTGTGCTAGAGGTTCGCATGTCCATCCACACTAAAATGAAAAAGACACAATTCAAAACTTCATTGACAATTATGAAAAAAAAATGTAGATAGGTTCATTTCCAATTAATGAAAAATATTCTGTTGAATCATTTTCAGAAAACAACTTTGTTTCATTACGAAGGAGCGTGCCAAATTACAAAACTATTGTAAAATATGATTTACCTTTGAAAAAAAAAGTGTGTCAATGTTCCTAGATGTTTCCTGGATTTTCAACCTTTCACAAAATGATTTTTATCATATCAGATCATTATTGAATATTGTATCATTTGAAGAAAAAAAAAGCGCCCAACAAAATTAATGAAATTTGACAGGATCAAGACAATACACAACCCTGTATTACTCACACTGTAGATTTCTAAAAAACTTGATAATTCAAGCTGTTTCCTAATAGAAATTTATGCTTTTGGGAAAGAAATTCAAAAAATAAATGTCTTAGATGGTGGGGAAAAATGCATCAGAACTGAGAGGTTGTTTTAGAAATGAGTTAACTTGACTTGCTAATTTCAGTTGACTTCGACGAGCAGTTTATACATTTGAAGCCCTGAAGAATGCTTTTGAAAAATGGTTCAGTAGACTCAGTCAAATCCTTCTTTGATGAATTAATAATGCATCGATTGAAGCAGGTTGTGATCATCAATTTTTAATAGTGCCCTGATAACTCACTTTAAATCAAAATTGACAAAGGATATATTATTCTGATTATCTAGTGTGGCACCAAATCATGTACAAAGAAGTGTAAGTAAATAGAAATGGGTACATTCTTTTAGGAGATAGGCATGGAAAGTTTCCAAGAATTTCGTATAGAGATGAAATAGAAAGCCAAAAAACTTTTTCCCAAAGAATTAGTATTAGTATTCATGTCAGTACATGTAAACTTTATCTGTATATTATGGATTCCTATTTGAGAAAATGGTTCGGCAGGATTATAACTGTGCAGGAAAAAAAATTATATTATGGATTATCTAGGATATATTTCGTATCGATTCAAATTTAATGGTATTTTCTTTCCAAAGTTGTCAAAAATGTAGCAACCTTTTTTTTATTCTGTACCCTCCCTATTAACTAACCCTGTACTTGTTTACCAAATCGAATACTTGTAGATTTGACGTTATTATCAGCAGATACCACTGTTGTCTTTCTTCAACTTATATTTCTGGTGTCTCGTATTTGATTAAATATCACAAGGTAAAATGAATTTCTTGTCTAAGACTTGCCAGTTGGTAGACTCCTACCTACCTTCATACTGCCAACTCAAATTGCATAACTAGTGTTTAATTCAAGTTAGGCAAATTTCAATTCAAGCAGAGTTTGCATGTCTTTAGAGTGTTATTTCAAATAGGAGAATGTAGTCTAAGATTTCTAACTTCTTCTGAAGTGATTTTTTCACTAATGCTCTTGTATTGCTTGTGGCGGTCTTGTTTTAAAAATACTATATATAATACCCAATCTCACTAATTTGAACTACAGGTAATACCTAGAGCATTATATAGAGGCTTTCCTGTAGTAGAATCCCACAACACTGTTGTTTCTCTTTGATTTGTAATTCCAATAGCTATAATATCCTCATAATTGATATTTAATTTTGTTAAATTATCACAGGTTACATCTATAGTTTCCTTTACAGCATTCAATATTAACATTGGATCCTGTTCAAACCACCCTTCTTTCTGAACAACAAAAGGAATTTCAAGTTGATGATAGGTTAAAACTTCTGCTGTTTTTGAAGCAAAGACCTGGAAAAGGGATTCAAGAAATGACTGAACTATTATTTTTCCTTACTAACCAAAAATCTACAGCTCGAAGTTCCTTCATCTATGGACCCTATCAGAGGTCCGTATTTAATTTTTGTATCTACCATTTGGATGCGTTTTTTTAGCTGCCTATATCATATCTTTAAATATTTTTACTCTTATTCTCAACGTCCATTTAAATTTTATCCAATATCTTTGAATTAAATTTACATAAACAGCGAAATGACATGACAAAAAACACAACCAATGAAACCTGACAAAAGGGATACTACAAATTCACAGAACACTTTAGCTGCACTGGAATAGATTCCCGCTCGAGCTGGCAATGCATTTATGTCATTGACATAGTATTCTTGAATCCTATTATACTTTGAGGCATTTTCTGGCGCTCATGTATTTAAAATGTATTCGTCTATGATACAAATACATTCATTCTGGCGTTGTAACGATGACATCAACTATGATTTGAAACGGATTCATGATGATTCAAAACTATCATGAGGTTGGTTTTAAAACGGAATTTGACGTAACGATACGTCAATTGTCAGTTTCTGCTTTATTTTGATTGCTATAGTTTATAAAGTGCTGCAAATTTTTCATCAAATACGTTGTAACAAAATAAAGCTGGGAAATTATTACTTATACAAATCCGATTATATATGAGTTAGAGAAAATTGAAAAGTTTGTTTTTATTATTGAATTTGACATCTGACACAAATTGAATCATTCCATTCTGGTGAATCTTATTATTAATGACGTAACTATCAATCGATTTTGAAAACATGCTTGAATACGGTTAAACGCCAGAAAACACATTTGCAATGAGGGTTTTAAAATAACCTGCCATAAGACCGACACAGATTTTATCATTAGGTATAGTCAGGATGCCAGTAACAACCGTTTTCGAGGTAGCAAGTTAGGTTGGTTCATGGCGTAAGAAGTATTGACCTCGATCCGGGGCAACTCGAATGCAATTTTTTACTACACGTCGCGACGCACGAAGCACGTTTGTTTCGTGGAATATTCCGCTACAGTTGAGACGCCATCATTAGACCAGAATATCATATTATGATTTTGATACGAATATAGTTGTTCATTGCACACTTATATGTTTAATATTTTATGTCACGAAGCGGCATGTAAATATTATTGATGTACAATTATTGCATTAGAATTAGCTAATCTTTCCTTATTTATTCACTGGAATGAATAGTCACATCTACATTTTTGTCGTAACTTCAATTTCTGTGACATAGAAGGGACATTTTTTGTGCCTAGGCATTGATATTAATGCACAGGCGTTAAAAATACACTTTTTGCTCTTATTTTGAAATGTTGCTATGCATAAGCACCCGGCAAGAAATACTCTAATCAGTGACTACAAAACAAAGTCACTGTAGATATATTTTTGTTAAGTATTCAATTGAAGGCAGATACTCATAAAAAGAACGACAAAAATTGAGATTTTTTTATTAGTTCTACTTTAACGTTAATAGTTGAATCAAAACACAGAACATAACACTGAACCTAAAACAATGTAAATAGATAAAATATCTATAATATTAATGGTTGTTGTGGATATTTATAGCAACGTGCAAGCAATTTTCCAACATTCCCTCATTAGCTTGATAATTCGTTTTGTTTTCGTATTCATAGTATAATTATTTTTATTCATTTGTGAAGTACCTACTGCTACAGCTGACGATATTTTGTTTTTTGGGATCCAGGAAAAGTCTTCCACTCACATTTCGCAGCTATAAAATCTTCAATATAACCTTCAGCTATTGTTGATGATCTCCAACCCCCATGCCTTTTAAACGTGTTTATATCTGCACCAAAAACCACTTCCAATATAGCATAACTCTTGCAGAAACAATACCCTGTGTTTTCTTACTGTTTCTGGGTATTTTTATTGTTTCATAATATGAATAATGAACAAAGGCAAATCAAAAGAGAATCTGCTGAAGTGTAATAAGTAGCAAACTGAAAAGTTAACCTCGTAAAATTATTGCGTAATATAAAACACCGGAGAGTCCTATCGGTCAGTAATTTGTCGTATTCACAAATTTCACTTGCATATTGGATAATCAATTGGAAAAAATTAAATTCTCATAGTTACTCAGCTTTCTTTAGTGGTCGACCATTGGATAATTGTCCTGAAATATGTCACTTTGCTTTTTACATATGACTTTTCTTGAAAGTGTTTGATATTCGCTGGGAATTATTTTCTCGATTATTATATTTTAACAGTTTGATATAACTTAATAATGGTGAATTATTCTAATTTGAATGGTCAGATATGCATTACGCGTTATGGTCTAGTTGACGGTAATTGAGAGCAAGCTAGACGCATTTATCATCAGAGATATGTAAATTGTGCTTTGCCAGATTATCGAACTTTATCCAATCTTCATTTTCGTCTCGTGTAAACTGAAACAAGGAAGATCGCTAGACACTTCAATATTTGTCATCAAAATGTCTGGAAAATTTATGTGTATTCCTTGTCATATTTTCACCATATTTTAAGAATTTACGCGTTACTTTTCAAATACTTTCAAAGGTGTGTTACCTTTTGTAGTAACTTACAAATATTATGCAAAATCGTCAATATGAATTGCACATTTTATTTACGGATGAAGCTACTTTTTCGAGAAATGACATTCAGAATTTTCAAAACAATCAATTATGGGTGGAAGTTAATCCCTAATCCATAACAAAAAACCCATTTCCATCACCAATTTTTGGTTAACTAATGGCCAGGAACTATTGGCAACGACTTAATTGTAATTTTCTTCTTGCCTGGACGACTTAACAGACAGTCTTACCTAAACTTCCATCAACATCTTCTGCTTGAAAATGTACCCTTGGCAACAAGGAATTTAATGTGGTATATGCAATATGCATGATGGTCCCCCAGCACATTTCACGTTAGTTATGTTTATATTGTTAGTTGCTGTAATGTGTTCAATTTTTTCAGTTAGATTAATACTATCTTTGAATTGTTACTGTTTTTGTAATAAAAATACGTGCGTCACAAAAAATACTCAAGAGAGACCTCTTGTTTGAAATTGAGCGGGGAATTAAAAAAAAATTCGTTTGGAAATGAACATTTAACGTGGGTACCGGTAGAAAATATCGGTTATTGGCCGAACGCATGTCACTGTTGAATTGAAGAATTCTTTTTGCATCGAAAATTGACAGTTTTATTAAAAGTCACTGCATAACTAATTCAAAAACTGAAATTAAATCGAATTTAATATAACAAAATTTTTCAATAATTTATTTTATTTTCTTACTAAAAAACTACATGTCGTAGGAAAAATTCAAACGGAAATTTTTTCTCAAAATGAATGAGAAATTCAAAAAATGAATTTCATTTGAGCAAATCCATGGCCTAGAATTTCCCGTACCCACGCCACTGAAAATTATTTTTTTATCAAGATGGAGAAGTAGAAGGCCGAAAACTTCCCAAAAATTAATCTCTCCTAAAAATATACCCTTTCAATAAAAAAAATCAACTATCAACTATCAGCATAATATTTATAGGTACCAAGTGGTTTTGGAAATTTTGAATGATTTCCTTTTTTTCTTGAAACTTTTTGTATTTCCGTGATGGAACACAGCCCCTAGAAATAGCCAAAAATATAATTTTGTAAATTTCTTGGATAATTTGAATCTGATCTTTTTGCAAATAGTTTTTCATATGCTGATTAGGTTATTTCAAAAGTTTTGTCCGTTCTTATGAGTCTACTTTAAACTGTAGTATCTCAGCGAATACCTATTCAATTTATTCGAAATGAGAGAAATTTGAATCAGTGTCGTTTTGATAACGTAATACAAGTCGAATAATTCCGTCAGCATAACAGTTGTGTGTTAGGGATTCGATGAAGTCGACGAAAGCCGTTTTGGCCTGGTCCTAATTGGCGAAGGTTCTACCGGTGAGAACATTTTCGAAGTGATCGAAAAGATGGTGGTCGAGAGGTCTGGAAAGTATAGTGGGCGAGGAAGAACTTCGACGCTCAATTTGTTCAATTTTCGCAGGACTGGATCTCTCCTGGTGACCATTGCCGTCTGCTACTGACGCAATTTTCGGTATATTTCGTCGATTTCCGCACAATGGGACTCTGTTGAGTTATTGAATCACACCAGCCGCTGCGATGACCACCATATAATAACCATGGTCTTTATTTGGTGGGTTTTCGCCTTTGACAAGTACCTGGTTGGCCTATCGGCGCTCAATCACTGTACTGAACCTCTCCTGTTGTCGTAGAGAATCAACTTTTCATCACACGTGACGATCTGATCCCAAAAAAGTATCGTTTTGGTTGCACGAAAGCAAAGAAGAACAGACCTTGAAACGTGACAATTCATGACAATCGTTCAAATCATGGAACACCCTCTTTTCCAGCTTTTTGACCTATCCACTACGTTTCGAAAACCGCATGGGAGCTGACACTCAGCTCTTCAGCCATTCCACGCACCGTTTGGGATGGGTCAGTTTCCACCAGGGTTCTCTAATCCCCGTCCTGGATTATTTAGGTCGACCACTTCGGGGCTCATCTTCGAGGCTGAAATCTCCGTAACAAAATTTTGAATATCAACGTCGAACAGGGTGTTCATTAACTTTATCATTGCCAAATGCCTGGTTAATTTTTCGGGTTGTTCCGGCAGCGCTTTGATTCAATTTGAATTCGTTGGCCGATAATTGTTTAACGACATCATATTGTAACGAATCTGAAGTGGCCCCTGACCAGTACGGCAACCGACTCATGAAACAAACACCGCGAAAGAATGCAGTCGGAAATCGCCAGTGAATTTCTAGTACCGAACCGACTACAGAATTCTAGAAAGGACTGTTACCGATATAAGCCGTCTTCTCGACCCAAGAGGGCAGTTCAGAAAGTGAATGGAGCGGCAAAACAAAAAATTCAACTAATGGAAATAAATTAAGCGTTAGTTGCTAAGTGTTGTAATAAATAAATCAGTTTGTGATTAGTGAAGATAGTTAATTCATTAATTCGTCACGATATAGTATTAAGCTGAAAAGAGGGAAAACATTCTAATTTGGAAATAAATGAACAGTATAAATGTATAGAGCACAACATTCTCTATTAATCAGTATACCTATACCACGACCGCACAGTAGAATAAATATTTATTGAGATATGGAGCTACAAAAACACATGCCATTAAAATGGACAACACTTTTGAAACAACCTAATAACAGGAAATAAAACGAATCGATGAACAGGAGACAGCCTCAACACAACTC